AGTCTTGGGTTTGCACTGGTCCTCCTCCGCCTACTCCTTATCATCCTCCGTCCTGCTCCATCCATTCTATGACTCCTCCCCGCGGCACCCCAGGCGTGTCGGTATGGCGGGCTGTGTGTGTTCGCCTGAGACTCCCCTCCTTACTTTTGAACGATCATGGAGCCGTAACTTTACATAACTTTACCACAGGTGCAGAGATGGAAGGCGGGGCATTTTCAAAACTGAGCCCTCGCTGTAGCGCCGCATGCACTCGTCCAAAAAAAGAACACCGCAGCAGCTTCAACTATGGAGGCCGCTCTGCTCTCGAAGTTGGGCCCTCGACCTCGCGCCTCGCGCCTTCGTCTTAAACGTGGTTTAACGTTTTTCCCCACATCCTGAGTGGGGTTCTTGTTTTCCCAGAACACCCTTTCCTTCCCACGCACCTCCCGCTCCATCGTCCATCATTATTCCTACCACACACACACCATACCATACCATAGTTCCTACCACACATACCATACCATACCATACCATACCACACCATACGTACCATACCGTACCATACCATACCATGGCGTACCATAGCATACCATACCATATCACACCAATGCCACACCGTACCATACCATACCATACCTCCAGTACCATACCATACCATATCATACCATACCGTACCATACCATACCTACCATACCATTCCATACCACTCCATACCGAAAACCATACTACTTACATGGTTTCGTGCCCCTCCCACCCCTCCAGGGAGGCCCCGCCTGAGCGAGGAGGGTATCGGAATACCATACTATTTACATGGTTTCGTGCCCCTCCCACCCCTCCAGGGAGGCCCCGCCTGAGCGAGGAGCGTATCGGAAAACCATACTATTTACATGGTTTCGTGCCCCTCCCACCCCTGCAGGGAGGCCCAGCCTGAGCGAGGAGGGTATCGGACAACCATACTATTTACATGGTTTCGTGCCCCTCCCACCCCTCCAGGGAGGCCCCGCCTGAGCGAGGAGGGTATCGGAATACCATACTATTTACATGGTTTCGTGCCCCTCCCACCCCTCCAGGGAGGCCCCGCCTGAGCGAGGAGGGTATCGGAAAACCATACTATTTACATGGTTTCGTGCCCCTCCCACCCTCCAGGGAGGCCCCGCCTGAGCGAGGAGGGTATCGGAAACCATACTATTTACATGGTTTCGTGCCCCTCCCACCCCTCCAGGGAGGCCCCGCCTGAGCGAGGAGGGTATCGGAATACCATACTATTTACATGGTTTCGTGCCCCTCCCACCCCTCCAGGGAGGCCCCGCCTGAGCGAGGAGGGTATCGAAAACCATACTATTTACATGGTTTCGTGCCCCTCCCACCCCTCCAGGGAGGCCCCGCCTGAGCGAGGAGGGTATCGGAAAACCATACTATTTACATGGTTTCGTGCCCCTCCCACCCCTCCAGAGAGGCCCCGCCTGAGCGAGGAGGTATCGGAAAACCATACTATTTACATGGTTTCGTGCCCCTCCCACCCCTCCAGGGAGGCCCCGCCTGAGCGAGGAGGGTATCCGAAAACCATACTATTTACATGGTTTCGTGCCCCTCCCACCCTCCAGGGAGGCCCCGCCTGAGCGAGGAGGGTATCGAAAACCATACTATTTACATGGTTTCGTGCCCCTCCCACCCTCCAGGGAGGCCCCGCCTGAGCGAGGAGGGTATCCGAAAACCATACTATTTACATGGTTTCGTGCCCCTCCCACCCCTGCAGGGAGGCCCCGCCTGAGCGAGGAGGGTATCGAAAACCATACTATTTACATGGTTTCGTGCCCCATCCCACCCCTCCAGGGAGGCAAAATCCATACTATTTACATGGTTTCGTGCCCCTCCCACCCCTCCAGGGAGGCCCCGCCTGAGCGAGGAGGGTATCGGAATACCATACTATTTACATGGTTTCGTGCCCCTCCCACCCTCCAGGGAGGCCCCGCCTGAGCGAGGAGGGTATCCGAAAACCATATTATTTACATGGTTTCGTGCCCCTCCCACCCCTCCAGGGGGGCCCAGCCTGAGCGAGGAGGGTATCGGAAAACCATACAATTTACATGGGTTCGTGCCCCTCCCACCCCGCCAGAGAGGCCCCGCCTGAGCGAGGAGGGTATCGGAAAACCATACTCTTTACACGGTTTCGTGCCCCCCTCCACTCCTCCAGAGAGGCCGCGCTTGAACGAGGAGGGTCGCGGAAAGCATTACTCTTCGCCAGGTTTCGTAGCCCTCCCCCCTTCCAGCGGGGCCCCGCCAAAGCGAGGAGGGCATCAAGAAAATGGGTCCCACGAAACCGTTAATCTCTTTATGTGGGGAACTCCGTTAGCATAATTTTTCCCCACATCCTGAGTGGGGTTCTTGTTTTCCCAGAACACCCTCTCCTTCCCACCCACCTCCCGCTCCATCTTCCATACAGCACAATATTATTCCTACCACACACACCATACCATACCATAGTTCCTACCACACATACCATACCATACCATACCATACCATACCACCACCATACGTACCATACCGTACCATACCATACCATGGCGTACCATAGCATACCATACCATATCACACCAATGCCACACCGTACCATACCATACCATACCTCCAGTACCATACCATACCATATCATACCATACCGTACCATACCATACCTACCATACCATTCCATACCACTCCATACCGAAAACCATACTACTTACATGGTTTCGTGCCCCTCCCACCCCTCCAGGGAGGCCCCGCCTGAACGAGGAGGGTATCGGAAAACCATACTATTTACATGGTTTCGTGCCCCTCCCACCCCTCCAGGGAGGCCCCGCCTGAGCGAGGAGCGTATCGGAAAACCATACTATTTACATGGTTTCGTGCCCCTCCCACCCCTGCAGGGAGGCCCAACCTGAGCGAGGAGGGTATCGGAAAACCATGCTATTTACATGGTTTCGTGCCCCTCCCACACCTCCACGGAGGCCCCGCCTGAGCGAGGAGGGTATCCGAAAACCATACTATTTACATTGTTTCGTGCCCCTCCCACCCCTCCAGGGAGGCCCCGCCTGAGCGAGGAGGGTATCGGAAAACCATACTATTTACATGGTTTCGTGCCCCTCCCACCCCTCCAGGGAGGCCCAGCCTGAGCGAGGAGGGTATCAGAAAACCATACTATTTACATGGTTTCGTGCCTTTTTTATCTCTCCAGGGAGGCCCCGCCTGAGCGAGGAAGGTACCCGAACACCATACTATTTACATGGTTTCGTGCCCCTCCCACCCTCCAGGGAGGCCCCGCCTGAGCGAGGAGGGTATCGGAAAACTATACTATTTACATGGTTTCGTGCCCCTCCCACCCCTCCAGGGAGGCCCCGCCTGAGCGAGGAGGGTATCGGAATACCATACTATTTACATGGTTTCGTGCCCCTCCCACCCCTCCAGGGAGGCCCCGCCTGAGCGAGGAGGGTATCGGAAACCCATACTATTTACATGGTTTCGTGCCCCTCCCACCCCTTCCAGGGAGGCCCCGCCTGAGCGAGGAGGGTATCCGAAAACCATATTATTTACATGGTTTCGTGCCCCTCCCACACCTCCAGGGAGCCCCGCCTGAGCGAGGAGCGCATCCGATAACCATACAATTAACATGGTTTCGTGCCCCTCCCACCTCTCCAGGGAGGCCCCGCCTGAGCGAGGAGGTCTCCGAAAACCATACTATTTACATGGTTTCGTGCCCCTCCCACCCTCCAGGGAGGCCCCGCCTGAGCGAGGAGGGTATCCGAAAACCATACTATTTACATGGTTTCGTGCCCCATCCCACCTCTCCAGGGAGGCAAAACCATACTATTTACATGGTTTCGTGCCCCTCCCACACCTCCAGGGAGGCCCCGCCTGAGCGAGGAGGGTATCAGAAAACCATACTATTTACATGGTTTCGTGCCCCTCCCACCTCTCCAGGGAGGCACCGCCTGAGCGAGGATGATATCCGAAAACCATATTATTTACATGGTTTCGTGCCCCTCCCACCCCTGCAGGGAGGCTCTTCGCCATCATCCATCTTATCCTCTTCCTCCTCCTCCTCCTCCTCCTCCTCCTCCTCCTCCTCCTCCTCCTCCTCTTCCTGGAGGGTATAGGAAAACATACTGTTTACACGGTTTCGTGTCCCCCCTCCACTCCTCCAGAGAGGCCGCGCTTGAACGAGGAGGGTCGCGGAAAGCATTACTCTTCGCCAGGTTTCGTAGCCCTCCCCCCTTCCAGCGAGGCCCCGCCAAAGCGAGGAGGGCATCAAGAAAATGTGTCCCACGAAACCGTTAATCTCTTTATGTGGGGAACTCCGTTAGCATATTTTTTTGTTTTTAAAGCTTCAAGCCTGGAGGGCGGCTCGTTTTCCAAATGGGGCTCTCGCCTCGGCGCCGCGCGCGTCCGTCTTGAACTCTGGCCGCATGTTCAAGAGAAGGGGGTGGCTCGTTCTCACACTGGGGGCCTCGCTCTGTAGCGCCGCGCACATTCGTCTTCAACGTCTGCAGCACCTGCAAAGATGGAGGACGGCTCGTTTTCAAATCCCACCAGCCCTCTGGGCGTGAGTGGTGTAAAGAGTTTCCTCGTCCATCTGCCCTCTTCCCCTCCGGAGAAGGGTTCATCACTGGTCCTGGTTGATAAACACCTCCTCCCCCAGGCGACCAGCAGCCAAGGCGGAGCAATGCGGGCCCCCCCCCGCCACCCCTTGTGAAGACAACGCGACATGACGCAAAACGTGCTCTTTGCCTCCACGTCTGGAGCATGCGCGGGCGCCCCGCGACCACTTTGCCTTGGCTTTTGACGAGGATGGCGGGGGTGCCGGCACATTGCCTGCTGCGCGCAGACCGACGGAGGGAGGGAGGGAGGGGGGGAGGGAGGGGGGGAGGGAGGGGGGAGGGAGGGGGGGGAGGGAGGGGGAGGGAGGGAGGGGAGGGAGGGAGGGGGGGAGGAGGGAGGGGGGGAGGGAGGGAGGGGGCAGCATCCCTGTCAACGAAGCATGCTGATCCCACTTTGCCTCCAGATCTGGGAGCACGCGCCGGCGCCCGGGCGCCCCGCGGCCACACTGAACTGGGTGTTGACAGGGGCTGTGGGGAGGAGGAGGAGGAGGAGGAGGAGGAGGAGGGAGGAGGAGGAGGAGGAGGAGGAGGAGGAGGAGGAGGAGGAGGAGGGGGAGGGGAGGAGGGGGAGGGGGGAGGGGAGGGGGAGGAGGAGGAGGAGGAGGAGGAGGAGGAGGAGGAGGAGGAGGAGGAGGAGAGGAGGAGCAGGCGGAGGAGGAGGAGGAGGAGGAGGAGGAGGAGGAGGAGGAGGAGGAGGGGTGCGTGGACCTTTTCTCATGCTTTTTGGCTGGGATGGGGTGGCGGCACACTGTGTGCAGCGAGCGTGTGCTCCTGTTTCTCCAGTTGCGCGTTGCTGGCGACATCCTCTTTGTACTCTTCCAGGGGGGCGCTCCTCTCTCTGGGCTTTCATGTGTTCCACGACTCCTGCAATTTCTCATTTTGGTCATCGGTGCCGCTACTTTGCGCTCCCTGGAGGAGCCACCCTTCTCACATAATGATCGGCACTTCGGCACTTCGCTTTCGGGGGGTTCGAGATTCTGAATTCTTTTGGGCCAGGACCCCAGGCACCTGGGGTCCCGAATGGTTCCCCGTAGCTGGCGCACGTGGCGCGGCCGGAACACGTTGCACAGTTGGCGCACATGGACCACGTGCCGCACCTGGCGCGCCTGGCACGCTTCGGCCTCTGGGGTGCCTGGTGCACCTGAAACCCGTGGCGCGCATAGCGTGTGTGGCGCTCCTAAACGATATGCTGACACTCTATCTGGGAGGGCAGCTGGACACCTCCCCCTACCCCCTCCCCCCGGGTCTGGACGGGGCGCTGTGCGAGGCGTCACAGCGTTTTTCTTTGCCTCGGCGAGAAGGCCAACATCATTGACTTTACCTTGGTTTTGGCCACATGTTGACCTTCTGCCAGAGTGGGCGTCACGGCCCTCCTCTGGTCGATTTCCTCGAAGATGGCTCCGAGATGGCCCCCGAGGCTCCCAAATGTTCCCCAAGACGGCTCCAAGAGGTGCCCAGGAGGCCCCAAGAGGCCCCGAGAGGCCCCCAGTAGTCTCCCAAGAGACACCCAAAAGGCCCCAAGAGGCCCCAGAGGTACACACGATCTCCAAGAGGCCCCCAGGACTGCTAGGAGACTCCCAAGACGCCCCAAGAGGATTCCAAGAAGCTATCGAAAGGCATCCGAAGAGACTCCGAGAGGTATCCAAGAGGCCTCTGGCCTTTATGCTCGCCCTCCTCCTCCTCCTCCTCCTCCTCCTCCTCCTCTTCCTCTTCCTCCTCCTTTTCCTCATCCGCCAATTACTCATCATTCCTCCTCCCTTCGCCCCCTCCCCTTCTCTCCTCCTCCTCCTCCTCCGCCTGCTCCTCCTCCGATTCCTCCTCCATCCTCTCCCTGTTGGGGTATGACGTCTTACCCAGCCATTTGGTCCACTGCATGGTCCTCCCCATCCATGATCGCGAGGCGGGGATTTATCCACATCCACCGCCTGGGAACCGACGTCCTGGTGCCCCAGCGGGCGGTGGATATGGATATATTTCGGCCCCCGGGGGTCCGCATATGTCCATATCCACCGCCTGCCGAGGCTCCGAAAACTGACCCTCCAGGCGCTGGATATGGATCAATTCTCGCCTCGGACTGATCAGGGCAGCTCGCTCGGGCATCGTTTCTGCATGGGCTGGCGGGGTTGCGCGAGGCGTCTATGAATCGGGGCTCCCGCCCCAGCGCCGCGCACGTCCGGCTTACTATTCGGTCGGGCGTGTCCCCCACCAGGCGGATTTTGGACGACAGATTGGAAATACGCAGACCATGCTCAAGAATCGTCAAAGGATCGTTCCCAGGCTATTGTTATAACTGTTCTTGCATGTTCCTCCTGTAGAGGGGCAGGCCCGACTTAAGCTCACCAGCTTGCAGCGGCAACAGGAAACGGTGGGCGGTACCTCTCCAAACTATAAAACGCACAGGGACATACTAATACTGGATGTCCTCCTTGGAGGCGCGCGCCCGACCCGAACACATCGTAGACCCATCTTGTAGTAGCTCGTTTCCCCAGCGGTGTGGCCAGAGAGCGCCCGCCACGGCCCACGTACTGTAAGAAATTCTCGGTGCGCGCGTCGCTCTGGGGGGGGGCGCGACGCACATATATTATAAGTACAGTCGGGGCCTTGACCTAAGGAACCCTAAGCCCCTTTTCTCCATAAGTTGACCTTCGATTTCCGGTCGAAAACATAAGGAAAGCCTGAGGCAAGCTGTGAAACACTTTACGGAACGTGGAGCCCCTCCCAAACGAAAAGGGTTCCTTCTTCAGGGCCCCGACTGTAGTATAAGCATGTTGGGGTGACGCCGCTCCTGGAGCCGTTCGCTAAACACTGAATGCGGGATGACCCTGGTCCGGGATCGGTGGAGCGCCGTTGCCTCCCGCTGTCTCCAAACTGTCGGCCGAGTGTCTCCCGTGGTCTGCGGCGGTCTCCCGCTGTCTCTCGCGCCGTCCTCCGTCGTTTCCACTCGTGGCCCGCTGCGTTCCGTCGTCTCCCGTTGGCTCCCGATGGCTCCCGTTGTCGCCTGTTGGGGCGACGCCGAAGCTAAGGTTAGGTGCCATCGGGCTGGGAGTTATTTCAATCATGTGGTGTGCCTCTTAGCTCCGATTCGCTTCTGTTAGCTTCTACCAGGTCCTACTGAGCCTGCCGCTTGGCCCGCCCAGAGCTTTGACCAGGGCTGAGTGTTCGCGTGAGTCTTCTCGAGGCTTCAGGGTCAGAGGCCTGAGCGGATGCCGCCCCTGCGCGGGCCGAGGGCGGCCGCTGCTCAGCGCCGGGCGTTCGCTCGGGGACTCCTCTGCCGAGTCGAGGGCCCAGAGGCTGGAGCACGCAGCACAACTTCACAAACGGCGGGCTTCTCCTCTCCAGCATGGGGGGGGTTCGCGTGGGACGTCGCCTGCTCTCGTAATCCGGTTCGGAGACGTCCTCTACTCTCATAGCCAAAAAGTGAGACTTTGGGCGGTGTCAGCAGAACTAGGGAGGTCCAGCTTCAAGCGGGGATCTCGCTACACACCTCGCTGAACTGCGTGATCACACCTCTGCGCGCTCCGTCTTGATTGTCAGCAGGATGCATAACACTTCCTTCGGAGGAGGAGGGGAGAGGAGGAAGAGGAGGAGAGGGAGGAGGAGCAAGAAATAATCGCTGGCGGCTCGCTTGGCCAGCGACGAACTTAAAAACAACGAGGCTGGGACGCGCAGCGCAGCGATTGCTCACGACCAGGAGTGGTACTGCTCTCCCAGCATCCTCGGGCAGAGGATGAGGAGGAGAGGGAGGGGATAAAACGACAGTGGTGGCGGTGAGGAGGAGACGGGTACCAGGAAGAGGAGGACAACGACGGCGAATCTGACAACGAACATGAAGATGGAGACAATAGTAGTGATGATGATGTTGGTGGTAGTAACGGTGATAACGCTGGTGATGATGATGACGACGATGACGATGACGATGACGATGCTGATAACGATGGTAATGATGATGATGATGATGATGATGATGATGCTGATGATGATGATGCTGATGATGATGATGATGATGGTGGTGGTGATGATGATGATGATTGGTGATGATGTTGATGCTGCTGATGATGATGATGATGATGATGATGATGCTAATGATGATGCTGATGCTGCTGATGATGATGATGATGCTGATGATGTTGATGATGATGCTGATTGTGGTGGTAACAATGCTTGGTGATGGAGCATGTAGCCCTGTGCATCCGAGCGGGGGTTGGCCAAGAAGAAGAGGAGGGGGAGGAGGAGGAGGAGGAGGAGGAGGAGGAGGAGGAGGAGGAGGAGGAGGAGGAGGGGGAGGTACCTGCCCGGCCTGGTTGACTTGGTGATCCCCCACGAGCTGGTGTGCTGTGCGCACTTGTTTGCCCGTCCGCTGGCGCTGCCCGCCGCCGCGCTGCCCCCGCAGGGCTGCCTCCGGAGGCGAGGGCGTGCCGCAGGCGAGAGGCCCCGCGGCCTGGAGCGCCTCGGTTTTTGGGGGGCCCGTCCGACCTACCTGATAGTTGAGAACTACAGTCGGGCGTTGACCTGAGGAACCCTAAATCAGGAACGAGGCCCCTTTTTTCCATAAGTTCAACTTTGATTTCCGATCAACAACAGAAGGAAAACCTGAGGCGAGCTGTGAAACACTTAGGGAACACGGAGCCCCTCCCCAACGAAAAGGGTTCCTTCTTCAGGGCCCCGACTGTACTCCAGTGCCCGTCAAGTTTGCTCGTCGAGGTCCCTCTTGCAATTTTTGTTTGCGCGGGCTTCGGCCCCACTGGCCAGGTCTCAGTGGGCGGCACCGCGGCTGCTGGGCGGATTCTGCACGACCACTGCCATAGGCAGGACGGGGGAGAAGGGAGGATGTGGAGGTCCTCCTCCTCCTCCTCCTCCTCCTCATCCTCCTCTCCTCCTCCTCCTCCTCCTCCTCCTCCTTCTCGAAACCAATGGTGGTGGTGGCGGAACATCGGCCCATCAAAACCTGCTCTCCTCGTGGCCGTGGCCTGCCACTCGGGCGCCCCGTTCTGGGCGAAGTTCGGGGTTGTAGGTCGCACGGTCGGACTTGATTGGAGAGGGCACGCGAGAGGACGCAAGACTCTTCCGACTGCAGCGTGGCCCCAGAAGACCAGAGGACATGCTGGTTGCACAGGCCGGGATAGACAGGACACCAGGGTACCCTCGATTTGGCATGGTCGACCTACTAATCAAGCTCGACTGTACGGTGGGGGGCTGCTGTCTCCGTGGGTGCGGTGCCCATGATGCCGTCGAGTCGGTGAACGGGGACGGGACCTAGATGTCCACTCGTGAAAAGCTGCCCCCCCTACCCTGGGTGGGTGTGTCTGTGTGTGTGCTTGTGTGTGTGCCCTGGCCGCCAGGGCCTTCTGCTGGAGTTCTGGTGCAGATGGCCACACCTGCAGAAGATGGCGGAGGAGGTTGGCGAGGACATGGCCTCCTTTTGCATCTCGGTGGAGCATGCGGGACGACCTTTTAAAGCATCAGTTGGGTCCTCGTGGTAGTCCTGCGCCCTGACGGGCCCGTGGCTCCTCAGCGGGAGGGTCTAGGGCTCCCTGCTTATTGTGTAATTGGGCCCGCGCCTTCAACGTGTAGAGATGTTTCACCTGTAGCCAAATTTGCAATCTCCGTGATCAGGTGTGACGTGCTGTGTGTGCCCTTGCTTCCTCCCGCCGCGCCTCTCTTTGCTGTGCCGTTCGCCGTCTCTTCGCTAGTGCTACTGGCTCGAAGCCAAGAAAAGAGGACGACGGAGGGATTGGAGGAGGGGGAGGAGGATGAGGAGGAGGATGTGAGGAGGAGGAGGAGTAACATCGGCAGCAGGCAGATGAGGAGCATGAAGAGCAAGACCTATGATCCAGGAACATGAGGAGAGAACTGACGAGGACCCTCAGGACGGCAGGGAAAGGGGGGGAGGGCGAGGGGGAGTGGGCAGTCAAGCTCCTCCCACTCCTCCTCCTCCTCCTCCTCCTCCTCCTCCTCCTCCTCCCTCCCTCCCTCCCTCCCTCCCTCCCTCCCTCCCTCCCTCCCTCCTCCTCCTCGTCCGGTCCTCATCCTCTCCTCCGCCTTCTCGTCCGTCACAATCCTCCTCCGTCCCTCTCCCCCCCTCTCTTCTCCTCTTCGTCTTCGTCGCAATATAATTATCCGTTTCTCCGTGAAGTCCTCCCCTTCCCCCTCCTCCGTATCCTCCCATCCTTTCCTTTCCCCCTCCCCTCTCCTCCTCCTCTCTCCTCTCCCGCCATCCCTCCCTCCACTTCGTGACCTGCGACTTGCCCGTTAGCGATGCACGATGGACGGCGGGAAAGGGGGTCAGGGCGAGGGAGGGCCAGTCAGGCTCCTCCTCCTCCTGCTCCCTCCTCTCCTCCTCCTCCTCATCCTCTCCTCCTCCTCCTCCTCCCTCCTCCTCCTCCTCCCCCTCCCTCCCCTCCTCCTCCTCCCCTCCTCCTCCTCCTCCCCTCTCACCCCCTCCTCCTCCCCCTCCTCCTCTTCCTCCCTCTCCTCCTCCTCATCCTCCTCCCCTCCTCCTCCTTCTCCTCCTCCTCCCCCTCCTCCTCCTCCTCCTCATCCTCTGGCTCTCCTCCTCCTGGCCTGTGATGGGTCCGCAGCCTTGGTGGCTCGAGCTCCTCGTCGTCGTGATCCTCGTCCTCTGGCTCAGTCTGTATGCCCTGTGGGCGGATGACTTCTGCCCAGACAAGTGTCGTTTCATCCGGCGTCGAATAGAACACAGGATGATCATCCTCCTCCTCCTCCGCCTCCTCCTCGTCAGCATCATCATCAGCATCATCATCATCACCATCAGCAGCATCATCATCATCATCATCATCATCGTCACCATCATAACCAGCATAACATTCATCCTCCTCACCATCACCATAATAAACAACGTCACCATCATCATCAGCAGCAGCAGCAGCTCATAATCACCACCACTAGCACCACCACCACCACCATCATCATCAACATCATCAGCATCACCAGCATAAACAACATCACCATCAGCAGCAACATCATCATCATCATCACCATCATCCTTCCCATCATCATCACCATCATCATCCTCATCAGCACTACCATCATCATCATCACCATCATCATCATCATCATCATCATCATCATCATCATCATCATCATCATTATCAGCATCATCATCATCAGCATCATCATCATCATAAACAACATCATAATCATCATAGCAGCAGCAACATTAGCATCAGCATGATAATCACCATCAAGCATTACCACCACCAATATCATCGTCGTGTTCATCATCATCATCATCATCATCATCATCATCACCATCATCATCAACATCCTCTTCATCATCATCGTCGCCATAATCATCAACATCATCGTCATCATCGTCATCGTCATCATCATCATCAGCATCACCATCATTCTCATCATCATAACCAGTATCGTCCTCTTCCTAATCCTAATCCTCATCCTTATCCTCATCACCCTCATCGCCATCACCATCGAAATCACCATCACCATCATCAACACCACTGCCGATACCGTCAACATCATCATCATCATCATCATCATCATCATCATCGTCACCGTCACCATTAGCATCATCATCAGCAGCATCATCGACACCATGACCAGGATCATTAAGCTTACCATCACCACCAGCAATAGTATAGGCACCATCCTAATCGTCAGCATAAGCATCGTCACCAGTCTAATAATCAGCATCACCAACATCATCATCATCATCATCACCACCACCACCATTACCATCACCATCATCAGCATCATCATCAGCATTCTCATCATCATCACCATCATTATCATCATCATCAGCAGCAGCATCAGCACCAAAATCAAAATCAATACCACTACCACCACCACCACCACCACAATCATCATAATCATCATCATCGTCATCAGCATCATCATCATGCTCATCGTCATCATCAGCATCATCATCATATCCATCAGTATCACCAGCAGCATCAGCATCATAATCACCACCACTACCACCACCACCATCATCATCGTCATTATAATCAGCATCGTCGTCATCATCGTCATCATCATCAGCAGCATCATGATCATCATCATCATCATCATCATCATCATCATCACCAGTATCATCATCATCATAATCATCCTCACCCTCATCCTAATTCTCATCCTCATCACCATCATCGTCATCACCATCAACATCATCAACATCAACACCACTGCCGATATCGTCATCATCATCGTCACCATCACCATTATTCGCATCATCATCATCAGCAGCATCATCGACACCATGACCAGGATCATGATCCGTATCATCACCACCAGCAATAGTATAGTCACCATCCTAATCGTCAGTATCATCATCGCCACCAGTCTCATAATCACCAACACCATCATCATCACCAACACCATCCCCACCATCGCCATCATCACCATCATCACCATCATCACCATCATCCCCATCACCACCATCACCATCACCACCATCATCAGCAGCAGCATTATCGTCGTCGCTGTCGTCGTCGACATCACCAGCAGCGGCAGCAGCAGCAGCAGCAGCACCTTCTTCAGCCTGCCCCGCGGGGCACCCGGATCGCCTCGGCGTGCTGGGGGGCACCCAGGAGTGGTCCTGCGGGCGCCTCGCCGCCCAGGGTGCGCACGCCGCAGCGGACGACCCGCTCCTGCGCGGCCTCAGATCCCGCTCGGCCGGGCCGCCGACGAGGAACACCCTAGGCTATACGCAAGAGTGACCCTGGGTAAGAGTGACCTTTGGTGCGCGGCTTTTGGGGGGCCGCGCGGGGGCCAAACTCAGGCGCACAAGACGCTACTGTCGCATCGCAATCGGTGATCGGGGGACCCCATGGTACCCGCACCAAAGGTCACTCTTACGTGTAGTCGACACCTGTCCTTCACCACCAGGCGCTGGGGCAGAGGAACCCAGACACGATCGCGTCGCCAAAACATCAGGGCGGGAGGTTTTTCGGGCTGCCTGCTGCCTCTGGGAGCCCTCGCCGGGCCTCGGGGCCGTCAAGAAAACGACTCGGGAGGAAACGCCGGTGCTGGGGAAGGGGTCCGGACTTCCAGGGACGCCGTCCTGAAAAAATCAGGACGCCGCATGTCTGGGGACCAGAGTTTCGGTGGCGGTTGAGGTCGGCCCTCGTGCGCACCGACGACGGCGCAGGCCGCGCCGAGGCGCTCAAAGGCTGCGGTCTTGGGCTCGCACGATGGAGGCGCTGATAAAGGAGAAGCATGGCGCTGCGCCCTAGCGACTTGATCAAGCTAAGGCGAGGCCCAGCCGCAGAACGAGGGGGAGCCCTGGACGACAAGCTCTTCGTGCACGGCCACGTGCGCCACCTGCATGCAACACTGCGCGGCCCAGACGGGCTGATCTGTGCTCAAGCTCGGGGAGGCCAGCCTGCTGAGGTCCCGCGGCCTGGTCGGTACGGTCCTGCAGCCCACACCGCAAGAGTCGAGCGCCGCCGAGCTCACCGCCGAGTGCGAAGCCATTGCCGCCAGCGCCGGTCCAACGACAACCTGGACTGGCCGCACCACCGTCCCAGATGGCACCGAGGGCGGACGTGCTGCGAGTGCGTGCGACGGCCAGCCTCGTCCGAGAGGGGCCCACGCCCTTGGCGGCAGTGGCTCTGCCTCGCCCGCGCGCGCGGGCAGGAAGCGCCGACGGGCGGCCCCGCCGCAGCGGAGGGGGCACGGCGGGCGGCCGCGGCCTGGGGCGGCCCGCCTGCGCGAGGGCGCGGGCGACGTGGCGGCCGCCATCGGGGCGGTTGCCATCGCGGCCGCCGGCATGGCGCTGCGGGACCAGCGAGGTGACGTCGGACAAGTGCCTCTGGGGCAGGCGCCCACGGCCAAGCGCCGCCGCCTCTGCCGGGCCGGCGGCGCACCGCCCCGCGCAGAGCTCCCGCGGGCTGCCGGTCACATCACAGGCGGCGCCTCTGCTGCAGCGGGTGCGGCGCGTGGGGCGGGGTGTCCCCCCCGTTGGGCTGGGCACCCGCTCTCGAGCAGCGCCAGCCAAGGGGGCCCAGGGTGCGCTCCACCCGCCCCCCCCCCCCCCTCGTTGGCCCCGCTCGCGCGGCCTCGGTCAGGCCGCCCGAGCGAGCGGCGGAGTGAGCCGAGGTGCTCCAAGGTCCAAGGGCGGGGTGGGGGGGGGGGCAGGTTCCTCCGCTGGCCGGCGCAACCCGCCCCAGGGGGCCGCACACCGAGCGCCTGCGGCCCCTGCCGCAGGGCATGCGCGCTGGCGTGCCGGCCGAGCCGCCAGGCCTCAGCGCATGCGACGCGCTCGACGGCACGATGGAGACTGGAGCGCAGCGCAGTTCGCGGCCGTCGACGGTTGCGGCCGCCGTCTCCGCCGCGATGACCGTGCTGACACCTCTTCTCCTCCGCCCACCTGCCCCCAGACGCAGCTGCAGCCCTGCCGCCACCATCGGCTGCTCCTTGTCGCCAGCATTATGGCATCATTCTCATCAGCATCATCATCATCATCATCATCATCATCATCATCATCATCATCATCATCATCAGCAGCAGCAGCAGCAGCAGCAACAGCAGCATCAGCAGCAACAACAGCAGCATCATAATCATTATCGTCGTCAGCATCATCAGCATAATCCTCCTCCTCATCATCATCATGCTCGTCCTCATCATGCTCCTACTCCTCTTCATCATCATCACCACCACCGTCACCATCGTCAGCATCATCATCATCATCAGCATCATCATCACTATCATCAGCATCATCCTCCTCCTCATCATCATCATCATAATCGTCAGCATCATCATCATCATCGTCACCATTATCATTATCATAATGAGCATCGTCATCATCCTCATCACCACTACCACCACCACCATCATACGAATACTGAAAATACTATGAATCATCATCATTAGCATCGTCATCATCAGCATCCTGATGAGCATCATCCTACACATCATAACCATCATCTTCGTCATCATTATCAGCATCAGCATCATCACCACCATCATCAGCATCATCATCACCAGCAGCAGCACCAGCATCAACAGCATAATCGTCATCGCCATCTATAGCATCATCATCATCTGCATCACCATCATAATCGACACCATCACCAACATCATGAGCATCATCACCATCACCATCAACATCATCACAATCATTTCCATAACCACCGCCATTATGACCACCCTCCTCACACACATTACAAACATCACCGCCATCGTCATCTCCAGCATCACCTCATTATCTTCATGCCTCATGCCAATCCATGTCTTCGTCATGATCGTCATCGCTAGCATGGGTTTTGCCACTATCAGCGCCATGATCTAGAAATCTAAGATCATGTTTACTGCTGTCATCTTAACGACCATCAGCCAACAATATCACCACCACCAAGGCGAACAGCGCACTTCGAACACCCAGAAACTCCCGATCAACACCAGAGTCACAACCAAATCTCGTATCGTGCTCGCCGATGTTGCTGCCGCCACAATGCAACGCCCTTCGGGCAACTCGGCATTACTTCCCGAGGCCGGTATCCTGCAGCGGTGCTCCCTGGAAACCGCCGAGTCAGGCGGCCTGTTATGACAAACAAATTGCGATTTCTAAGCTCCAGCATAAGCCCAGAGGTGGCATCTGGACAAGAAGTGGCAAAAGAACCTGGAGAACTTTAAACAAATAAGCCCGCACCACTGCTGCTTCTGTACGACCCCTGGAGGGCCTTTGTGGACGTCTACGGCGACATCTCCAGCACGCCGGGAGGGAGGGAAGGAGGGAGGAGGAGGAGGAGGAGGAGAAGGAGGAGGAGGAGGAGGAGGAGGAGGAGGAGGAGGAGGAGGGGGGGAAGGGGGCAGGGAGAGGAGGAGGAGGAGGAGGAGGAGGAGGAGGAGGAGGAGGAGGAGGGGGAGGAGGAGGAGGAGGAGGAGTCAAACGAACATCCGTAGCCATTTTGGCTCATGCCTTTCCGTAGGCCCCCCGCTCCTGGACTCTTCCTCGGCGTACCCTGCGACCCCAACCCGTCGTCCAGTCGGGGCAACGAGGCGGGCGTGAGGGAGGGGGGAGCGGGGCTTTGGGCTCACGGGAGCATGGCGCGGGAAGATGCCCATGGTAGCTGCCTGGAAGCGTTCGCGGGCCGAACGCGCAGCTGCTCGGCAAGCCGCTCAAGCCAGTGCGGAGGCCGCACTGAAACGTCTTAGCGTCGAGAGAGACGAGCTCAAAGGGAAGCTGGACCACCTCTTGGCGGCCACCGCGATTGCTTTGGATTTGCCTGCTGCGGTCGCCGATCGGGTTGTTGGGTCAGTTCCCTGCCTTGCCAAACTGGTTGAAGGCATTCGACCTGAGCACGAGGATTGTCTCAGACTCAATGTTGCACTGCATGCACTGGCCCCTGGTGTGAAGATTTCTTGCGCAGGCGGTAAGGAGCTACGTCACGCCCAGCACGGTCCCCGTCTCGAGTCATTGCTTCATGTTGAAGACGTTCCCGACTCTTTCTGCTGGAGTAGTGGTGCTCCAGTGTTTGTCACGGGAGCAGCTGCTCTCTTCTTAGCGAGGGAGGTCTAGGCTGGTGTTTGCCTGGAGTCCGAGATTACCCCCGTCCTGAAATGGCGAGTGGGAGTCCATCGGAAGCCGCACCGCTGTGCTTGCACTGCATCAGTCCGCGGAGACCCGCCCTCCCACCAGCGATGATGCAGATTGAAGGGAAACTGGGACACACAAATAAATAGACACGAATAACCAGATTCCCTATATTTCCCCATATTTTCTTTCTGGGTTTGTGTCTTCCCCCCCCCCACTTACCATATGTTCCCATACTTTCTGGGGACTCGACGATTCATGGTGTCTGTGTGTTTTTCCCCCCTGAATGGCGAGGGAGCCAGGCCGGCACGGTGCAACGGGACGAGCGAAAACGGCACCGAGGAGCATGAGCCGCAGGAGCCAGCGAGCCAGGGTGCGGGAGCGGCGTCAACGCCTGCTTCGATGCCTGGGCCTTTCTGCGGCGGCCGTCGGGGTGGAGGCTTGAGTTCTTGCAGGATCGCGGAGCTGGCCCACGGAGGTCCTGCGCGGTGGGGCGCGAGTTGCGCTGGGAGGAGGCCAGCGACCTCGAAGCGGAAGATCGCCTTCAGCCGTGGTGCACGTTGTGCGGGGACGCTGTCCCGTGTGGCAATAAGCTCTTCTTTCTTTGCGCCGTGACAAGCTGCGAAGGCTACTGTTGCGGGCATTGTGTTCACCCAGAGCTGCGACGGCCAAGATTCCAGCTTTCATGAGCCAGTGGAGGCGGCTGGCTGCCATCCCGTGTTCCTTCTGATGCTGGAGTTGCACGCCTTTCCTGGTGCTGCGGATGTCCCAGAGTTGTTTGTAAGAGGCTGTCTGGCATCAGTTGCGAAGTGGGTGGTCCTTCCTGGAGCAGGCTGGGCATGGTGTTCGACTTCGGGCCGTCCTTCGCGTCATTCATCGGATCGGAGTGCCACCATGTGGGGATCACTCCTAAGGCAGGCATGAGGCAGGAGGAGTCAAGCGAACCAGGTCGAACGAGCCAGCGGGCCGCACCCATTTCCAGCCTTCCCCACCACGGCATGAGAACCAAAGGCGGCGCAACTTGGCGTTGGGACCGGAAGACGCTTCCACCTGGCGAACGGAAGGTGCTCGCGCGCGGTCCCGCTGATGTTGCACTAGTGCTGCGACGGAAAGCAAGGGCTCAGGGGACCACACGGCGGCGTGGAGGACGAGGAGCGTGAAGCGGAGGCGGGGGGCATGGGGGGGGGCAAGGAGAAGCACGAGGAGAAACCGCATGAGGAGCCCCAGGAAGGCGAGGAGGTGAGAGGGAGGGCCGACC